TATTGTAATTTCATTTCGTACTTGTATATGTTTGGATGTCTCAGTTGGTGAGATACTTTGAATTTCTGTTTTTTCTAATATCGAAATGTAGCTATATATTATTGCAAAGACTTCGTTAGTGAATATAGATTTTGCTCTTTGTGAGTTATGGTATTGTATGCTTTTAATATATTCTTAGAATACTTTTGAAAATTCTAATTCAAGATCGTCTGTTTGAATTACATATTTGCAATGATTCGGATTTGGTGTGCTGAATTCTATGGTGTAGATTCCGTATTGTTGTGTTAAATTACATATATCTTTCGGATAATGTTCAATAATTTGTCTTTTGATTTTTACATCTGGGAATTCTGCTTTGCATAGACTGATTCCGGGTTCAAACAAATTTAGGAGTAAATTTTTGCAAAATATATGCTGCCCTCTATCATTGGGTGCATCTACGAGGAAGGGGTAAACTTCTTCGTCATCTGGACTTTCGTCACTTTGAGTGTGGCTGTGGCTCATTTTTTCGTTTAATGACTGTTAATATATAACTAACGATGTGCCTAATTGGTTGATTCCAATTATACAAGTGTACTGGTTTGTGTTTATATTGTTTTTTTATTCTTCTTTTTCCTCTTTTTGATGAATTTGAAGTTGTTTCTGAGTCGGAAAAATATAATTGATCGTGGATAGGACAATTTTTGTCAATCGATTCTTTTAATTTTTAGAGTTCATCTAAATTGTTGGCTTCTGATTCTGAAATTGCGTTTCTATTTTTTGAAAATCTTTTTCGTGTGATTTGTCTTTGTTTGCTTATGATTTTTCTTTTAATTGTTAGTCGTTTTGTTCTAATATATCCAACTGTTTGTGTATGAGGTGTGATTACAAGATCGTATTTTTTGTTATCTATTTCGCAATTGTGTAAAACAATTGTTTGTTTGTTTCCTAGATTTTTGAATGACATAAGGTTTAGGATGAGGGATGCAAAAAGTTGTTAGATGATGTCTACTTTTCTTAAACTATTAGTCCTTACGATTTTTTGGTTAGCTTAACCTGGGTCTTTTTATTTAGGGTTGGAGAGAAAAGTATATCGATTCCGAGGAATGACTTTTTACTTTCTCGTGGCTAGTCTAAGCTAAGGTGTTAACTTACTTAATCTTACTTAGGGGTAGTGATTGTGTTCAAGGGTTGGAGAATAGTAAATCGATCCACAAGGTTCAGGTATAATTAGAACGCAAGTAGTTCGTTAGGTACTATTTTAAACTTACTAAGTCTAAGATCTATCCTGGGTCTGGTAAGAGGATGGTTCAAGTGAAGGATGAATAACCGAAGTTCTTCACTGTTTATCCTAATTTGAATGGTTAGTTTTGTTGAAAAATTTCTATTAGTCTTGGGTTTTTTGGAAGGGTTGGATAGTGAATCGACGTTTGAGGTCGTTAGACACTTGCTAAGTGGGTAGGGGAGAACAAAATTGTTCTTTTTGATCCAAGGATTGGCCTTGATGATTAAGCTTTAAATTTAGTGAAATAGAAAATTAATTAAGATCCAAGGATAAGCCTTGATGATCTGATTTTAAAATTAAGTGAATTTAAGTTTTAATATGGTTCAAATTTATTTAAGAAAAAGATTTAGTTTTTTAATGATATTAGTGAGCTTATGATTGCTGTTATGTTTAGGTGATGAAGCTGGGACAACAAATGATTTTATGATTACTAACAATTTATTGTCATTCTACTAATTTTTGTTTTTCTTTTCAATAAATATTTTCCAAACATGTTTTATATAAGACTGCAGAATTTAAGAAAACGATCTGAGATCTTTTTATCAATCGTTATTGTATATTAATAATTTTGTTTAGCGCCTGTAATGATCATGAAGTTTTGACTTCAAAATTTTATGTTCGCAAATGAAAATCTAAATTCATTGCTAATAGGATTCTAAATATAAAAGTTTGTGTTGGCTTTTGCCGTACAATCATATAACTATATGGTAAGTTTCTACTTTGTCGTATGTCGTCTCTTGTTCGAGGTCTTCTTGCGATTCCGGGTAGTTCTGCTATCGTTTGGAATATCGGCTCTGATCTATTGAGTCGTAGAGACATTTCGATTAAATTATCGTCGTATAACATTTTTAAAATGTTTTGTCTAAATTCTAAACTATTTTTTTTGGTTAAATCTAAGCTATTAAGGTCTATTCGAGACTTATGGTCGCACCAGATGAGTTATGACCGATGTGGTTAACTCATAGAGTAATTTCGGATAGGGTACACCGTCTGCTCGTCACGCTATCTTATTTTCGGCCGGATAGATTCGTGCAACTTCTTAGTCTAATACCGATCCTAATCTTACTATTATACTTACTAGTCTCAGGGTGTTTAACTAGTCTCTGCTAGGCTCAATAGATCTAGGGTATACTGGTTTGTTGCGGTTGCTGAAGTTCTCTCGGAGAGACAACTAATGTCTAAGTTAAATTCAAATCTCTCTGGTGCTGAAAGTACAAGTAATTTCAGCACTTACAAATAAGTGGGTTGTTAGTTAGATGGATCATGATTGGTTAATATTAAATACTTTACAGTGGTAAAATATCTAATTTATCCAATCATAAAATATAGTTTAGATCAGGTTCCATAAAGGAGTAGCACGAATCTATGGGGACCAAAGCAGATACTTTGACCTGCAGACAGTGCTTTGATCAGAAATTATGCTCTATGCGAAGATAACCGTTCGACCTATTTCAATAGCAGAGTTTGAAGCAAACAGTATGGGCTTGAGGTGACAAAATAAGTTGTTTGAAAACCAGTGTTGTCTAAATATTTAACTCAGTGTGTTTTCTACAGGCGGACGAGAGGAATCTGAAGAATGACGTCACTGAATCCTATTTTGACTCGCAGTCGACTCCGAGTGGGCTGAGGATGTTGCTGGTGTTCCTTGCCGACAGCAGACACCTCCCGGATGACGCCAAAGGGTACTACTTCCGGTGCAGCGAGGAACAGGCCAAACACTCGCCACAACTCGTGTTTGTCAATGTACGCATGTGTTCACTTAAAATGCTCAGAATCACAGCTAGGAGATTGATCTAGTTCATGTCCTGGTGATTTATGAAATGGTTTTGAAATTTCGATAATAACGATTTTAAGGTTTATTTTAAAACGCCATACAGACTCTTTTTCTCAAAAATTGTTTGCTGCAGGCGTTTTTGGGGATGGTGTGCCATAGATGGCGTCTAAAGATTTTTTGGGAACGCTTTAGTTTCGATGAAACGTTCCTTGATTTTGGTGCGCCCTTCACAAAGCGAGTATTTTATGAACAAAATGAGCACCAAAAAAATTAAGAGAGAAAAACTTTTTGTTGCATCAACTTTTGTAGTTACAAAACTAATTGCAGATGGACCAAGTGTACATAATATTAAATATGATCTTTTCTTAAAAAAGTTTAATCATTCAGTGAATATACTAAAACTCTCCTTATCTTATTAAATTTTGGAGTTAATGATTGTAATTAGGGGCGGTGATTCGACCCCCTGCGGGTCCAAAGGGTCCCCCCTTTGGTACCTTTAAAAAATTTCTATTAGTCTTGGGTTTTTTGGAAGGGTTGGATAGTGAATCGACGTTTGAGGTCGTTAGACACTTGCTAAGTGGGTAGGGGAGAACAAAATTGTTCTTTTTGATCCAAGGATTGGCCTTGATGATTAAGCTTTAAATTTAGTGAAATAGAAAATTAATTAAGATCCAAGGATAAGCCTTGATGATCTGATTTTAAAATTAAGTGAATTTAAGTTTTAATATGGTTCAAATTTATTTAAGAAAAAGATTTAGTTTTTTAATGATATTAGTGAGCTTATGATTGCTGTTATGTTTAGGTGATGAAGCTGGGACAACAAATGATTTTATGATTACTAACAATTTATTGTCATTCTACTAATTTTTGTTTTTCTTTTCAATAAATATTTTCCAAACATGTTTTATATAAGACTGCAGAATTTAAGAAAACGATCTGAGATCTTTTTATCAATCGTTATTGTATATTAATAATTTTGTTTAGCGCCTGTAATGATCATGAAGTTTTGACTTCAAAATTTTATGTTCGCAAATGAAAATCTAAATTCATTGCTAATAGGATTCTAAATATAAAAGTTTGTGTTGGCTTTTGCCGTACAATCATATAACTATATGGTAAGTTTCTACTTTGTCGTATGTCGTCTCTTGTTCGAGGTCTTCTTGCGATTCCGGGTAGTTCTGCTATCGTTTGGAATATCGGCTCTGATCTATTGAGTCGTAGAGACATTTCGATTAAATTATCGTCGTATAACATTTTTAAAATGTTTTGTCTAAATTCTAAACTATTTTTTTTGGTTAAATCTAAGCTATTAAGGTCTATTCGAGACTTATGGTCGCACCAGATGAGTTATGACCGATGTGGTTAACTCATAGAGTAATTTCGGATAGGGTACACCGTCTGCTCGTCACGCTATCTTATTTTCGGCCGGATAGATTCGTGCAACTTCTTAGTCTAATACCGATCCTAATCTTACTATTATACTTACTAGTCTCAGGGTGTTTAACTAGTCTCTGCTAGGCTCAATAGATCTAGGGTATACTGGTTTGTTGCGGTTGCTGAAGTTCTCTCGGAGAGACAACTAATGTCTAAGTTAAATTCAAATCTCTCTGGTGCTGAAAGTACAAGTAATTTCAGCACTTACAAATAAGTGGGTTGTTAGTTAGATGGATCATGATTGGTTAATATTAAATACTTTACAGTGGTAAAATATCTAATTTATCCAATCATAAAATATAGTTTAGATCAGGTTCCATAAAGGAGTAGCACGAATCTATGGGGACCAAAGCAGATACTTTGACCTGCAGACAGTGCTTTGATCAGAAATTATGCTCTATGCGAAGATAACCGTTCGACCTATTTCAATAGCAGAGTTTGAAGCAAACAGTATGGGCTTGAGGTGACAAAATAAGTTGTTTGAAAACCAGTGTTGTCTAAATATTTAACTCAGTGTGTTTTCTACAGGCGGACGAGAGGAATCTGAAGAATGACGTCACTGAATCCTATTTTGACTCGCAGTCGACTCCGAGTGGGCTGAGGATGTTGCTGGTGTTCCTTGCCGACAGCAGACACCTCCCGGATGACGCCAAAGGGTACTACTTCCGGTGCAGCGAGGAACAGGCCAAACACTCGCCACAACTCGTGTTTGTCAATGTACGCATGTGTTCACTTAAAATGCTCAGAATCACAGCTAGGAGATTGATCTAGTTCATGTCCTGGTGATTTATGAAATGGTTTTGAAATTTCGATAATAACGATTTTAAGGTTTATTTTAAAACGCCATACAGACTCTTTTTCTCAAAAATTGTTTGCTGCAGGCGTTTTTGGGGATGGTGTGCCATAGATGGCGTCTAAAGATTTTTTGGGAACGCTTTAGTTTCGATGAAACGTTCCTTGATTTTGGTGCGCCCTTCACAAAGCGAGTATTTTATGAACAAAATGAGCACCAAAAAAATTAAGAGAGAAAAACTTTTTGTTGCATCAACTTTTGTAGTTACAAAACTAATTGCAGATGGACCAAGTGTACATAATATTAAATATGATCTTTTCTTAAAAAAGTTTAATCATTCAGTGAATATACTAAAACTCTCCTTATCTTATTAAATTTTGGAGTTAATGATTGTAATTAGGGGCGGTGATTCGACCCCCTGCGGGTCCAAAGGGTCCCCCCTTTGGTACCTTTAAAAAAAAAACATTTTTGGCCGACCGACCCTAAAATTTTTCTGAAGGCGCCTTTGGCGCCAATATATACTAACTTTGAGAGGGAGTGCGCGCCAAAAAAATGGATTTTTTTTGTCAAAATTTTCCGAAAAGTGCCCAAAAACAGTTTTTTTGACCTGTTTTTTCAAAAATTTGCCTGCGGCGCAGAAAGTTTTGCCAAAACAGCGTCTTGTTAGTGCTTTAGGAGAGCTCGGAAAATCAATTTGGTCGACCTACAAAAACAAAAAGTCTCAAAATTTTCGAAATTTTTTTTAAAATCCGACCCCCCCCCCCCTCGAGAATATCCTAGATGCGCCCCTGATTTAATGGTTTTTTGAGGAGTGCAATTAATTTTATCGAACGCTGACTCGTTCGTTCGGATTGATCTTATTGGGTAATAACTTCTGAAATCTTCAAAACTAATATTGTTCGATTTCATGCCCGCACAACAGTCGGTGTACTCTGTGTTCCTGAAGCACTGGAGCAAGATCAAGCTGGGCATGGCGAAGATGCGGGTGAACAGAGAGACCCCCAAGTTGGACCACTTTTTGAGAGCCCCCCTGAGACACATGGAGAGAGAGATAGTGGGTCAGAAGACTGAAACCTTCTGCTACAGTCCATTCCACTTCCATTTGTGAGTGCAGTTTGATTCAGAAGTATAATGGTGAAGTGGCTGAGGTCTCCGCCTCTCAGTCGAAAGGCGGTGGTTCGAGACTCACTCAGGATCCTTGCACGTTGCCAGTGGGTGAGGCAAAAAATCTATGCGGGCGACGCGCAACGTTGAATATCCGTTAAGAGACAAACACTTCTTGTTATTTTTGGCTCGACAAAGTACTTCTAAAAGAAACCCTTTAATTGATGAAGGTTTCATTTCCTGGAGGAACCTGATGTGGATTAATAATGATTTTAAAATATAATTAAGAAGCTATTTGGTTTTTCAGCGAAGATCCAAACAAGAACATCCACGCCTTTCTCGCCTCTCGCAACTGGACCAATGCGGAATCATACACTGCCCCGGAGCAGAGTAGGAAGAAGAGAGGGGATCCGGAGACTCCGAAGATCTACTCAATGAGGAGTGCATGTTCCATCTTTTTCGATGTTCCTCTGGGACTGAACCCGCAGTTGGATGACTTCCACGGAAAACCTATCGTCAAAATGGTCAGTAATAAACCCACCAAAGTTATGAATAAAAAGTTGTTTTCAGGTAGAAATTATAACAAGTTCACTATAAATGATACTGCAGTTAGTTTAGATCTGCCTGGGCGATCACGAGAGATCACATTTAAGTTTACAGATCCCTTTTCAAGTGTCGCAGTAACATTTAAAATCATCATAAGCGCAGTGTTTGGTTCTCAGAAATCAAAAAACCTATTGCAAGTTCTTCAAATTGAAAAAAAAAGTGATACAAAAACTGAATGAAGGATATCAATTGGGATTACAAAGCACGAGGCTATAAAAAATAGCAAAATTGTCATCCTTAAGAATCTTCAATTTTGCACGCGGATTATTTATCAAGTACAATAACGGTCAAGTGGATCATCAAAGTCACTTTGTCAGCAAAAAAAATCTAAAGGTTTCTAGAATTTTCTTCTAGAATTTTCTAGAACCTTCTACATGGCCTTGTGTGTTCGACCATCTGTGAGGTTCTTCTGGAAATGAAGGGGGGTCCCAAACAGGTGCTAGTGGCAGACAGTGGCCACAATGGGTTCCTCCCTGTCCTGCTCGCTTCTGTGGCCAGACTCAAACTCATCTCCGAAGTGTCCATAGTGGGGCTGAATTGCAGCGACACAAAAGGTAACAAGATTTATTAGAACAAAACACCCGGTTGTTTTTTAAAGAAAAATAAGAGGAAAAAGTTCTGACCTTTTCATAGTCAACCAAATCGTTCTCAGAGCTCTGTGCCAGTTTTGTTCACGCATAAGCAGTTATCCCAACCACATGTAATGATCATATCGGATTGTGTAAGATATTGATCCAAGACTGAAGTCAAAAAATTTTTCTGCGATTGAACCTTGTCCTTTGAACATGATTGTGGCAGCAACAGCATCACAATTCACAATAACTTCGACTCTTGTTATATTCAGTTTTCTCTTCAGTTTATTTTTAAAAGCGATCTAAGGCAAAAATTTACAAATCGTTTTTTTTTTCTTTACAAATGTGAATTTTCAATTACTTAGTTTTAAAATGAAGTGATAAAAAAAGGCCGACTAAACGCAATTTAGATCCTCCAACCCAGTGGAATTAAAATTGCACTGCTATCGTTTTGGGAAGTGTGAATTGTTTTGAAGGTGCGGATCGGCTGGCGAAGGAGTGGGGTGTGGACAACGTGAAGTTCCGACGTCACTCTCTGTTCCGACAGAGTGGGAAGAGTAGCGGGAAGTTGGCAGAGGCCAGACTGATTGTGCTGAACGCCACCAGTTCAGAGTCTGGAATAGCCAATCCAGGGGCACACTTCCTGGACGAGGACTTCACAGGTGGGTCGAAAGGGTCAAGTTAACGTCCTCGTTCCACCCAATCATTTCATTTGGATCAAAAAATTGTAGTTCTGCTATTTTAAAAACAATTTATGGGCGATAAATGCACTAAAAGGTGCTCATCTTATACCTGCAGCTAAAAACTAGGCAGATTTAACCCGAGATTCTCTCCGTGGCGTAGCGAGAGTCTCTGTATCCTCCGGGGGGGGGGGGGGGAGGGGGGAGGCATTTTACAAGAATTTTAGTCAATTTTACAATCATTATTTTAGCATTGCAAGCATTTTAGTCAATTTTGGTATTTGTAACGACACGTGACAAAAATTTTCGATCTTTTTTCTGTCATTCGAAAATTTGAAGAAAAAAAAGAAGTGGAAAAAAATCGATTTAAATCGATTTAAAATCGATTTGGATCGATTTCATTTTAGGTCAGATTTAAGATCCATTCAAATCGATTTAAAATCGACTGGAATCGATTTTTTTTAGCGTTGAAATCGATCTGAAATTTTTGTTTTGACTAACTTACTTTTTTACAACTTAAATCGATTTCAATCTAATCTGCATACTTTTTTCATACTAAAATCGATCGAAATCCATTTTTGTCAGTGCGGGTGGACTTTGAATGTCGAGAAGGTGTAGTTATATGACCAGAAATCAGCGGTCGGGAAACAATTGTAAGCCATAAATACTTAGTCGAATCAAATCTGATCTCTGTCTAGCAGCTCGAAAGAGTTTTGGACGACAAGTCGAACTATAGGCAGAGCACTGCCTAATTTTTTTCAATCTGATCCGCGGTAGATATTGAGCTACAAAACTGATCAATATAGAGGTTTTTTGGCAGCTCAAGTTATACCGCAGATTAAGTTTAAAAATTTAGGCAGTGCTCGGTCTATATTCCGACTTAGTAGTCGAAAAACCGACAAAAGACTAGAAAAAAAGACAAAAAAATTGGTATGTTTCTACTGCTGTCGACCTATTATGCCTTTCTAGGGCAAAGCCGTCTGTTACTTCGACTAAAAATTGCTTCTCGGCCGCATCAAGTCGATCACAAAGTTGAAACGTACCCCCAAATTTTGAGTAATCAAAAATAGGCTGAAAAAAAACAATTATTTGTAACGAAACAGGCTTTAAAGTCTTTGGATCTACTGATATTCTGATAAAACTGTCAGTACACGGCTTACCACTGTTTTGCCTCTGGAACATTTTTTTCAAAACATTTCGAGGCCAAACTGTGCACTTGATAGGCGTACAACTTTGTGTCTGTATGTTCCTGGATTCCAGAGACAACTTTTAACATGTTAAAATTTTGTCGGAACGATCAGAGAAAATGAAAGAACAAAAGAACAAAAGAAGTGTCTTTGTTGCGGTATCCGCTTATATTTCACAAAATGCACAGTTTGGCCTCGTAATGAAAACGTAACCTATTGACACCTTCTAACCAGGGGTGGATCAAGGATTCTTATTGAGGGGATGGGCAGATTTTTGAAAACTTTATGAAGATTTTGTCAAAGTTTTAGTCGACCGCAGGCAAACTTTTGAAAAAAAAACAGGTTAAAAATTGCACTTTTTGACGCACGTTTCCCTTCAAAATCAGCATTTTGTTGGCGCCGAAGGCTCTCTTATAGAAGTTCAAAGGTTGGTCGGCCAAAAATGGATTTCATAAAATAATACCAAAGGGGCGACCCTTTGGTTGCTGAGGGGGTCAAAGGTCGAATCCCTGAGGGTTGGGGGGAGCAAGGGGCGTCTTTTATGATGCATTTTTTGTTACTATGTTGACTTTAGAAAAAAGCAATAGGACAAACTTGATATAATTTTACCAAAAAGTTATGATTTAATTTGCACTCAAAAGTTAATTCGAAACATTCGGTTACGTTTACTTGATAAAAAGTTACGATAAAAACAAAGTCAGTTTTTGAATATCCTATAACGAATATTTACTTAGGCCGACAAAGTTTCAGACGGATACAAAGTCTGAAAATTTTTATGACGTCATATTTTTAAACCAAACATTTTTAAACTAACAGTATACCAGACAAATTTATTTTAATATACCATATACCAAACAATAGACCACACAATTTAGGACAAAATACGAGAAAATTTTAGAAAAAACAGTTGCATTTTTTTGGGCTCAGAAGCTATTCTAAAATATTTTTGCGGGTAATGTTGCTGAATTTATTTAGACGCTAGTTTGAAAATCAAGTAGTCAAAATTAGCACAGTAGATTTGAATTGCTTTTCTTTTACATAAGTGTAAAGGAGAGCAACAAGACACAAAGTTTGTAGAAGCTCAAATTTGCCCTAAAGTATCTAGGATGCAGGTCTTACATGAAGGGAATTTTGCCAGATTTCCCAAACTTATGATCCATAAATCAAATTAACAATAAGACACAGAGGCGAATCTAAAATTTTCTCGAGGGGGAGGCGATTTTCAAAAAATTTTTGAAAATTTGTTGAACAGTTTTTTAATTCGACAAAAATGAAATTCCGAGAGCTCCCAGATAACTTTAAAGACCCTAATATGGCACGTTTTTTTCACTCTGCAGGCAAATTTTTGAAAAACAGGTCAAAGTGCGATTTTTGTGCACTTTTTGGAAAACGTTGATTAAAAAATTGCATGTTTTCGGCGAGCGCTTCCCTTCAAAATTAGCTTATATTGGCGCCGAAGAAGCTTTTAGAAGTTTTTTTAGGGTTGGTCGGCCAAAAATAGATGTCTTAATATAATACCAAAGGTCCTCCCTTTGGTGGGTAAGGGAAAGGAATTAATAAGGGGAGGGGGGCTCGCCACCCCTTCCCTAAATCCGCCCCTGATAAGATGCATTCTGTTCTAGAAAGTACCCTAATATTGTTTTAAAAGTTCAATCAGAACTCTTGGATATGATTGGTTGAAATAATTCTAGTGGAAAAATGCAATCTTTTTCCATTAAAAAGAGAAACTAATTGCAAACTGTTTGCTATTCTGGGCCGTAAACAACACAGTTTGGTCGTATAAACACAGGGGCTCCGCAAAAATAATTATAGGGAAACTATTTTTGATAAATAATTTATTTTCGTTGTTGGAAATTAAAATAATTTATTTTTCAACAACCGTTAGGGCAATTATTTAGGAAAGCAATTACAATTATTGTTAAAATAATTGCTTGGTTGCGGCAAGCCAATAGCGTGGCGCCAAAAGCAACGAAGCATACTGTTTTTTTGACTGCTAGGTAAGTTCACTCTAATTGTTCGATTGCGTAAAGCCAATGGCGTTGCGCCATCTGTTGCTAACGCATATGTAACTTGCTTTAACAGGCTCTAAATTTCGTATAGAGTCGTACCCTTTGGTGGCAAGCTCGCAACACGTTGGCGCGGCTGCGGCGGTCACTATTCTGCAGCTTGAGTTTATGCTGATTGAACAGTAAACAATCTATCCATGAATTCGTTGGCTCAAATTTCAACCAATCAGAATTCAAGAAGATAAATTTTGGAACTTATGCGACTGATTTTTTATTTTGGAACCTATGAATATTGGAACCTATGGGAATTCACCAAAGCTATTTGTAAACGCTAGGTAAACGCATTACGTCTCACATCTCATTCAATCTGTTTATTATTCTCGTTTGAACGCTTCATTACTGCTTGAACTTGCTATTCTCGTGTGAAATGAACAAAGACGTCGTTCAGTTTTACTTTACTCATAAAGGCGAGAACAAATGGACTTGCAGATGTGGCCGTTCGAGAAAACAAGAATTAAACAAAGGTTATTCCAACCTCATGAGCCATATCACAATCGATCGCCCCGAGTGGAAAATTGAATTTACAGCTGGAAAAAACCAAAAGACCATGGGTTCTGCCGAAGTTAACAAAAAGGGATACAATTTATACAGCTGGCCACAGTGGACAATTATGGGGCATCACCCATTTTCATGGGTGATGCCTGAAATGGCTAGTTTCCTGAAATGGCAAGTTTCCTGAAATGGCTCATCATTTATCTAAGTCAGCTAGTATCGTCACCAGTCCCGATTTTGAGAACGGAATTGTTAAGTGCATTGACGGCAAATATTCAGAACTTTTGTTAGCTGAAAAGATTGCGCTCAAGTCCCTAGAAAAACAAGTTTGTGAACAGCCTTCAGGTGGAGAATGTTCATTTGTTGAGAAGATTCTTTTGGCTAAAAAGAAGAAGCTGGAACTTTGTGGTTACCTGACAATGAGTTGGATACCAGGAACTCCAAACGTCTGCGATCGTCTTTTCAGCAGAGCAAAGCTGAACGTCGGCTATCTACGGCACAACATGTCGCCTATGCACTTGGAAGCGGAATTGTTCCTATTTGTGAACAAAAAATTTTGGGACGCAAAAACTGTATCTCAACTGGCATCTAATCATGTTGACTTGTGATCAATTGTTGCAATATTTATATTTTTCCGAAAAAAAACAATTATTGCAATTATTTATTTTCTTCCCACCAAAATAAAAATAATTTATTTTGAAATGAGTAGTAGGGCAATAATTTTTTTTCAGTGCTCCATATTATGGCAATTAATTTTGCGGAGTCCCTGTATAAACAGAAAAACACTCGACAACAGAGAAACCATGTTTAGATGGCAATGCGGTCTACAGGTGTCTGTACACTGCCCAGATGAACGGGATCTACCCGACTGAGAATGCGGCCAAACTGCACAAGACAGCCATCATGCACAGTCTCACATTCTGTAAGTCACACCAACTCTTTCCTCATGTAGTTTAGGCCCTTATGGAGGGGGAGTTCATCTTTTGTGATGTTAAGTGTGTTCAAAACATATGTCTTCTCAACAATGGGGGGGGGGGGGGTTCCAATCAGACTTCAGAGTCTCAAGATACTGGGAAATGTGCTAAAAAATCACCCCGTCCCTGACTCGGACTCCATGGACTCTGATTGGTTGAAAATGTTCTCATGTTCCTTCTATCAAAAGACTACCCCCCCCCCCCCTTAGGGTGGCATAAAGTGGGAAAAAAATCCGTTTCAAACTTACCAAAAGAAACTTGTTGCTTTGTTGCTTTGTTGCTTTTCTGCACTATGCTAAACATATGTCATTCTGATCGGAACCAGTTGATAGATCTCTATGCTTGGGATTGAGGTGTATTTAATGACTTGATTCGTAAACTCAATTTTGGGGCATGCATGTGAAAATTGAAGGTCAAAATGCTTAATACTTGGACATGTTAGCAACATTTTGGAACTTTGGTATATTCTGTCCAAATTGCAGACCTCGCAAACTATTTTGGGATCCTTCCGTTTCAAATCGCTTGGACAACGGCATCCTTAAGAAACACAGAATTCTTTGTTTAAACTTGTGGTTTGCAAAAACATGTACTATTTGCATGAACGTAAGTTGGTGACAAATTTTGACACATTGCGTCTTGTGTCTTAAACATGAGTTCGTTCAGTAAGCGGAATCATAATTGACGAGTCGATGCCAAAAGAACTGCGCAATGCTATTGTTTCCTTTTGCCTGTGCAGTGAACAAAGACAAGCATTAGAGATCTACATTACCATATTTGGTAATATGACCAAATATGGTCTTAATATAGTCCTGGTCCTGTTTCGATTGAACAGAGTCTAAAAAATTTGAGTTCGAATCTAGGTAAATTGTGCCTGAAATCCGCGTTCATACATGTCTGTTCAGTAAAAATCATCAATTAATGAGCTTATTGACAGAAGTATCAAAAACATCGGCAAAATCCTGGAGAATAAAGTTCACCTTGGAATGAAATGCCGGCAACACTTATACGATATTCAGAATTGTTGGATTTTAACTTCATACTTACCTGGCGCCGACCGTCCTCCGATCAAGTAGAGAGGTGGTCCAGGGCGAGGCTTCTGCATTGCACTGGGCGGAGGTTGACCCCTGCGATTTCTCCAAGTGAGAAACTCGGACGCACAATTTATTAGTGTGGGGACTGCGTACGCGCTTTCCCTGAAAATTTTGAACAACGCTAATGCTTGGAGCAATTTCGCTCTGTTAATGTAAATTACTGATTGATTGCCAAAGAAACTAACCTAAATTGTGAATTTTTTAATGAAGATTTCAATTAATATTTGAACAACGGGAACCGTGGGAACTTACAAGCAGCCGTAAAAAGCCATAAATTAGCAGAAAATGATAATGGAAATCTACGTACTTTCACATAACTCAAATTCACCTTTTTGTTTAAATATTTGGATCTTATTTAATCTCGCCTTACTTCAAACTAAAATTTCACCCTTGGAGGATGCTAACTTGGTCCCACAAAACAATTGCCGCAAGAAAATAAGGATGTCTTTAATACAACCCTAGTCGATCAAGGATGGTTATCGTGCAAGATCTTACAAGAATCTTGCAAGAATCTTTAAGAGTTTATGTATAGCTTTAAAAGATCTTGCAAGAATCTTACAAGATCTTGCAAGATAACCAACATGCAAGATAACCATAATTTTGGAAGATTTTCAAGAAGCAATATTTTAGAGAAGATAACAGAGCTAGGACAAGCAAGTAGCGGAAGAAATTTTGCCCCCAGAATGTTCGCTTGTGCAAAAAATGGCAAATGCGAAGTGTTGAAATAAAGAGGAAACGAAATTAGAAAATGAGTCTCGAAAAGTGAACAAGACTGCTCGTATCAGGGCGAAGCCCTGAATGTTCCGACTGTCTCTTAAGGTTTATGGAGTAGTAATAACATGAAAATATTAAATGTAATAAAAAAAAGATTTTTTTTTGTGAAAATCATCCCCCCACACCATAAAAAGAAGTGATAAATTTTGCTCTTGTAACAAATCAATTACGGCAAATAGCCTGCTTCAACCAATTTGGAACGATTTCTAAGACGGATTAAATCTCCGCTGACCCGTTAATAGCGCGAAATATATCGCGCGCTAATTGTCCCAAATTGGCCAAAATGGCCAAAATGGCAATGTTTAAACCCTCATAACTTTACGAAAAATGGTCACAGGTGAAATATCTTTTCAAATTTAAGCTCAGGACAACAATAATTTTTGAATGATAAAAAAAAATTCCGTCAAAAATGGCTAGTTAAAAAGTCGAAATTTGTCTGAAGAAAAAAAACCCACCCTGAGCACAAATATTCCGTTACTTTCGTTACGAAAGTCGGAACAATAACTTGACCATTGCTTGTATCAATTCTCAAAATTCCTTTCAAAAAAAATTTTCATTATCTATCAACTGCACCATATCTAATTGGTGATTCAAACACTAGCCGCAAATACAAATGATTTTCAACACATGCTTTAACTTTGACGTCGGTTAGAGAAAAGAGGCGCTGATGCCGACGCAATTGCAAAATGTTCCACTCACACAGACTCGACGCATAGATGTTTTCGTGGTGATATGTTACAATAGGAGGTAATTTTGAGAATAGAGCATGTATTAAATTTCAAAACTATAATGCATAACATAGTCATTTCATTTTCAATCAGTTGTACTACTACTAAGATAGTTTCTGTAAATACATTACTCTGCCAAATTAAATTCTATTCAAACATTCAAACTTTACATTTCTTTCGACGAAAAATTTGGCTTTTGAAATAAACTATAAATAATGTACGAAGTATAGCAAAAAGCAATCCAGCTATTGGATTTTAACCTACCACCTATTGTACTATATCACCGTTTTCGTTTTGCATTTTTTCTCTATGATAATTTTTCGCACGATTCTTGCAAGATGGCCTACGGCTTGCAAGAATCTTGCAAGATAAACAGAATTGTCCAAGATCTTGCAAGGTGACCATCCTCTATCGACTAGGAAACTTTCTATTAATTGATACCTATTAGCTTCGAGAAGTTAACACTACCCGGGTCGAGATTTATGTTCCGACCGACTCGACCAAAAACTAGAATGTTTCGACCGTCTCGGCCCAAATCATCTTTTTTTCGACAGTGTTCGACCAAAGAAAGCACTCGGGTTGACCAAAGCTTATCATTTCAGTTTCATATAAGAAAAATTTCTTACCATACCATTCCATATAATTCCACGCGTACAGAAAATTGTATGAAACGCATATGATAAGCCTATTTTCATATATGAAAACTTTATGACAAGCATTTTTTCCATAAACCAAAAATATTGCTTTATTCAAGCTAAATTGTTGAAAATTTTTGGGTTGTTTTCATAACCGAACACAAGCTACCAAGAACTTGGTTTACTCAAAGCTAGAGTCTTCAAATGTCTTGCAATTACATTGAATAGGGAACGACTTGAATTGTCTTACAGTTGTCTTACACAAATGATATTACGGAAGTGACAAACTTTTGAATTTTGACAAAAGTTTTCCCGCTAGTTCTTGTGCAAAAACCTCAAAAAAATTTGAAAGCCTTCCGTAATTCTTATGCTTGGAAATTCAGTTTGAATTTATGAGCCGATGAACTTGACTTTATGTCTCGATTTTGAGTTTGACTAGGGCCTTCTCAAAAAAAAACATTTTTGGTCGAACTCTGACATGTTTTCGACCCATCTCATTCGAAAAATAAACCGCCAACCTCAAACCGGGTAGACATTTTGACATGTTTTTGATCATTAACGTCTCCCGCCATATCTAATCTGATTAAATCTTTACCGACAGAAACTTTTGTGTCAGAAATTTCTGATGTGTGTGAATTACATCTAATTGTGACTCATGACTCTTCCAGATGAAGTTGGGTAATTGAAACTTTGAAACTGACAAAATTGATAAAAGGAGACATCAATATGATAAATAGAGAGATGCTTTTGTTGTAGTTCCTAAGACGGATACGATAGTTTATTTCACCCAGTCGATGCTGAGGGCTGAGAATGAAGAGGTGGTCAGGAGTGCAATCGAGGAGTTTGATCAGAAGTACAATAACAACAAGGACTTCAAACTAGAGGTGAGCTTCGTGAACACACACACGCATGCATAGTGTTTTATGTCATATATATTTTTTGGCCCCGGTTTCAACCCTAGTGTTCTTAACAGCCAAATCCCGTAAGGTTGATTAAAAAAATTTTGCTTAGGAATACATAGCATTAATTTTCTTAGCCCCAGTTTTAATAACTAGTGTTCTTTGGAAGCAAATCGATCTTATATCTTACTTGTCTTGCAAAATTGTATGTTGCAAGTATTAGCACTTTTTTGCAAGATTTTTGTAAGACTTGTTTTCTTTTGCCAGAATCAAGCAAGATATGCATTCACAGTACACCAAGAGTTATCAAATTTGAATGTGGTCAATTTTTCAAATATGTCAAAAAATCTCAGCGATACCAAGTTTTAGAATATTAGACAACTTTATTTGAGCCTTAACTTAATTTAAAAACCAGCCAATAACATCTTGTGAGATATTCTGACTGTGAAATTTAATTCTACCAATTTTTTCTACCAGGTGAAGAGTTATGCTGACAAACTGCCAAGTATGACCTTTGAGGGAGCAGGCGTGGAAGGTGAAGGTCAAGGTCATCAGCAGTTCATGAGATTGAAGTCCCAGCAAGAGACAAATGGAGGAGTCATTGCAGTCATCACAAGAGGGGTCAGTCCAAAAAATAATACTTATTTTGACGATGATTTAAGGAGTTTGAATAACCCATCCGAAATACAAAAACGTGTTCAGCAACTCATACACATGGAATTTGAAAAACTACAGAGAAAACTGTTCATGTACGTGTTGCGAAAAAGGCTGCAGTATTTTCTGCCGCGCCTAAGTCTAAATTTGTTAATTTATGCTCTGAGTTGTTTTTGTATTTTTCCTGCAGGGTAAATTACAAGCCTTTCTTGGCTGTTTTCCACTTTCCCCCCACTTTCAATTCCAGTTTTGAAAAATCATTTTAACATTGTCAAAATGCAATGAAACTTGACATCGTGAACAAACCAACAATTGTGAACATATTTGGGTTTCATACATTAAATTGTAAGATAACGCGTTTAGCCATAATCACACGTAACACAACTATAAAAACTGAAAACTTGTCAGGTGGGAGGGTAAGTGGAAAAGAGTCCCCTTTTCTTCCTCTCCCCATCTTTTATATTAGCATGTGATGCGTATTATTACAGAAGATTACGAAGTCAGCCTCTGAGATTCTGGCACAGGCATTGAAGACTGGTCTGCTGACGAAGAAGGACCTCGGTCAGAGCGACAACTCAGAGGACTCGGAGTCCATGACAGGCAAAGACATCACATCACAGGACGCCAGTGAGAACATCTTACAAAAACTTTAGAAAATTTTTGTATGCTTTCAAAATGACATTTTTTTTCAATGTTGAAAATTTTTGAATAAAAGTTACGTCACACTCGTTTACAAAAAGTTAGATCACAGTCGGATCTCTTCAATTATTTTTTCTATTTTGCAAAAGGGGGAGACTCGTTGCAAGGTACAAACCGTTGAACTAGTTCATAAGGGGGTGGGAATTTATTACTAGGTACCAAAGGGCGGGAAAGACTTACACAGAACCAAAAATATATATATATAAAGTTGATATAAGCGAAACTATGGTGTTAATTTTTTGCGGCTCTGAGAGATAAAAAAACTCCCAAGAATGGCAAAAGAATTCACAAAAAGAAGAATGACAAAAATTGCTGTTTGGGTATCACAAATCTCAACTGGTATTTGGGAGATTTTTCAAGTCAAAATAAGGCGAAAGTTTGAGGCCGTTTTTGTCGTCGCCGATTTTTGCAGAAATACTTAAAGCTGTTTCAAATCAATTTGCATATAAAAATTGAGTTACCTTTTTGGCTTCAAATAAGGAACATCGTTTAAGCTCTGATCACAGAAATTTAGATAATCAATTTTCCGTGGCTTCTCTGAAAAAGAAGTGTTTTTTTTAAACTGAATTAGTTTTTTCAATTAAAAAGTTGCTCACAAACTTCTTTTTTTTACACCAAAACTTTCAGAGTCGGCTGGTTCGGCGAAGAAGAATAAGAAGAAGAATTATAAGTCGCTCGGCGGCAGACATGGGAGGGGAGGGAAGGCCAAGTCCAAACCAGACAAGTCCAAACAGGGAAAAATGACACTGGAGGAACAGATTGCAGCACTTCAAGCAGGTAGAAATATATCTGAAAAATAGTAGAATTAATTTTAAATGAAACACAACGGTTTGATGTTTTTCTTGCAATTTGAAATCTGTGCTTTCTGCCAATTGCCGATGAAGTTTCCACATAAATAAGACAAATAGGCTCATGCCATTAGCAAAATAAATTTAAAAACAAAGAATTTTGTAACAAAAAATGAATACATTTGAGTTTTTGAATGGTTAATGAAGCAAGTCAGTTTTTGTTCCGACCAGTGAAAATGGGGAGAAACTTTGTATTGGGTGAGTTTTAATTTCATTTCGCTTTTTCTTTGTTTTCCACGCAAAATCAGGTAACACAAGTAACTAATGAAACAAATGATATATCTTAAAAAAACTCCTTTAACCGCGACTCGAATGACAGTAAAAACATTTCTAAAAGTTGACCCAATATTGAGAAAAGATGGTTTAAATTTACTGTTTTTAGTGTAAATTCGAGTGAATAAATCGAGCGTTTATAGCGAGCGAGCACGCTTACTAGCTTACTATGGCTTGAATTAAGCTGTGAAAACTTATGTTTACTCAAGTAAATCAGTGTTTCAATATTTTAGCGCCGTTTTGAAAATCAAAAATTCAGAAAAAAACTGCGATAAAATTTAAGAAGTTTTTTTTGTTGGTTTCTTAATAATTTTTTTTGTTTTTCTAGTAATTTTTCTACAGAAACTGTTGCACAATTTGCTTAATTTAAAATTATTGTCGAAAAAGCCTAAACTCTACTCTATTGCTTAGAACATTTAATCACACCACACAGAACAAACGCCCCAATTTGAAAAAAAAATTGTGTTTTTTCTACACAAGAGTCATACAGATCTGTGCTACATGCAGAGTAACAAGCAATCCCGGTTAATGTTTCGTTTGTTGTTTTTTGTCAAGCAGAATGCTGAATTTTCGTAAGCTGATTTTCTCTCTCAGCGGTTTGATTTACTTTCTGAGATGCCGTGCACTGTATGGCTCTGTGGAGCTCGAAGATAAAAAATTAAATCCAAAACAAATTGTCCTTTTTTGGTTTTCTTTAAATTGGCTATGACTTTATTAGGAGTTGATGAACGTAACTTAAATTCTTATTTTGGTCTTAAGGCTCTTTTGGTTTTTTTTCCGGATAAGTCTCAAAATTTTTTTTCAGGCTCTAACATACTTTTGCTATTTGACTTTTCATTTATTTTGAGTTTCAGTTCATTTTCTCTGTTAAAAAAAGGAAAAATCCAAATTTGAACAAAAAAAAGTGTAAAAATCATGAAAACATGATTGGGTTCTAATTTTGTAAAAGGACTTTAAATATTAAGCAAAACAAAAAAAAACCTACTCATTGATCCAGTTCTATTAATCCATTGATCTACCAATTAATCCTAGTTTTTAAATGAAACCAGTCATTTAGAAGCTGTTTCAAAAACTCAAAATCTCTTAAGCCGTCTAGTTTTCTTTGAAAATCGACGGTTGAATTTTTTCTTTAAAAAGTCAGTTTGTTTTTTCTTTTCCAGTGATTCTTTTTTCAACTGTCTGTTGTATGTGGTTTTGTTGCTGTTAAAGAGACACTATTTTCGAAATGCAAGATGTTCGAAAACCTTCAGTTATAAGTTTTGACGTCCATCCTTTCAAAGGCAGGCTAAACTAGCTCTCCAATCACGAAGGAAATAACGGCGCAAAAGATGATCGAACTCCAGTTTCGAAACTGGAGTCTAATTTTTTGATTTCCGGAATTTTCACTTAACTTTCTATTGTTCTCAAATGAAGTTGTTTTTCCAGTGTTCTTAAATGAAGTCACAAAGAAAAATGCAACCATAAATAATTCTTGAAATTTAAAGAGTTTAAGGCCATTTGTTTTTTCATTGAATTGAAAGTTGCAATTATTTCAAAAATAAGTCAGTTTTTCTTCTGTTTCTGTGCGTTTATTGACTCTTTTCCAAATATCTGTTGGCTATTTTGAAAGTTTGCCCGTTCAAAATACTTGTCAAACTTATAAAATTTGTGTCCAGGAAAACATGAAAATATGTCACTTCTACTTTATATTGGACTTGGCCTAAGATTTCTCAATCAAAAGGTAAAAGTTTACCAGTATTGTAACCAATAGTTATTTTAGACACTGTAAAAAACAGTTGGAACATTTACGGTTTTGCCCTGATACAAAGGTTTTTTTTGTAAAGAAGGATTTGTGAGATGAATTGATCTAACACTTATTTAATAAAAAGGGAGCGTGCGTTACAATAAAACCGGAATATGATTTCAGAACAGTCAAATTTTGCTATTGTATAAGCGTTTTCTGTAAAATTTTGGATTAAGTGGCAAAATTTTTATAAACAGATTTTATAAATAAAGTAAACTTGCTAAATAGACATTTTATCCCGCATATGTGTTGATGAGGAAACCAAAAAAAAGTTTGTAACCTCAAAAAAACTACTACTTGAATTTCTTCGATTTTCAAGAATCATTTCTGAAATTTTCATGATGAAGCTCAGCCAGTTTGATAAAACTGAATGCATTTCAAAACTGTAAAACAAGCTCCTTTTTCTAATATAACCTTGAACTCCGTCATGTTTTTTTCAAAATGACTTAGCCTTATCAAAAAAATGTCAGAAACGATTCTTGATTTTCAAAAATGTTTAAAATCTAGTTTTTCTGAGAAATCGTTTTTTTGGTTCTCTTGAGTTCATCTTCTCATTTGCATCTGCCTGTTGGAAACGTTTTTTTTGCAAAAAGCAAATAATGGGTGTTTTTACGATCCTAACCTACAATTTTTCTCGTGTTTCAGGAAAATCGTTGAAATCTCTACAGCCGCCATCAGCAGGGTTAGTAAAAATTATATCAAAAAAGAATTTGCGGTGCTGCTGTTTATGATCATGATTATTAGACAAGAAAATATGTAAATTTTTAATTAAGTCTTATTGTAATCATATTGGCAAGGAGCTTCAATTGGTCCTCAAAAGTAGAACTTAAAGTGTAAAAAATAATTTTAACATTCAAAATCAAAACTGCTCGCCATTTCTAGAATTCTTCAGAGCAAGTATTTTCGACACCAGAGAAACTTTTGCAAGTCGGAAAAGCAAAATTGATCCTCATAATTTTACACTTCAATTTACATTTTTACAGTTAAAAACTTTAACATAGGCAGCCAAGTGGCACTGATTCGAATAGCGGATTGAGGATGATAACGATGATGTCCAACTCTGGAATAGAGTACAACTACCAGATAGTGCCAGACAATGCATCCAGCACAGGATCACACGGGGGAGGAGTGCTCACACTATCCACTGTGTCAACTGCAGAAAAAGACAATCAGAATAGTCTGAAGGGAGAGATGGCCGACAATCAGTTCAAAGGCGAGCCCACTGAGAAAGGTAAGCTTAACTTTTAGAAGAAAAACCATAAATGGCTGCCACTGCTTTCAAAACACGCCAATTCAACACGCCAAGAGCCATTTTATTCCAAGTCATTTAACGTCCTGCTTTTTGTCCTTATTTGAGCTAAAAGCTACGAAACAAATGTTCTGTTTTAAGA